TCCAAAACAAGCATAATACGAATACTTCATAAACAAAAATTTCATCCGTATCATGTGTCTCTCCATCAGAATCTTCATGGACAAGATTTTGATGTATCGATGCGAGTTTAAAAAATAGATCCGTAAAAAAGTCTTACAAATTTCATGATAGGGTTTCGTGATAGTAAACATGTTTATTTACACTTACAGATTCCCGAACGACGTCTTCGTCTCTAAAATCTCGATGGACAAAAATTTGTCGTTCCCATTTAATTTTTGACCTTGAAGGTCACTTGAAGGTCATATAATGTACATAACTAAACATATTTTTACATTAGCTACATCACGATTCAATAAAAAAAATTATACAATTATACGAAGATAAATATCGATGACCTTGCAAACTCCAAAAAAAAATTACCTTGGGAAAAAAATATTTTTGCAATACGATGGTTTTTACAAACCATTGAAGTAGCATAAAAAATTTTTTTTGTACCCCCGCAATTAGAGAAGATATTTAAGTGGCCTTATTTAGGTGGACCACCCTGTATATCTGTATACACATTAGTATTTCAATTTTCGGCATTTGCCGCACATATACTTCCCTTAATTTTTCGTTTGGAGGTATCACGATGTTTCTAGTATGCGTAACGATGTCGCCACTTCCGGTTACTACGTAACAACGATCAAAAGAGACTAATTTTATTCTACCCTCTGCAGTAATCTATTGATTTTATTCATGATAAATTCTAAAATTTGTGGAATGGATTTTTGATAACATTTCTATTAAATATTTTGTAAAACATTGTTACGCCATAGTAACGTACTTGATAGATTGTTCCAGAGGATGGACAAACTTCCGGCGAATGCCTTCTAGAATCTTCAAAGCTCGATAAAAGCGTCCGCAGCGCAGCAGTATTCAATACTTTGAACAGTGACAGCGTGCGAAGCTGATTGTCAAAAGCAAGCAAGAAAATACGTTTATTCATAGCAGTTACGTACGAATAATTGTGAACATTAGTGTGTGAATAACGTTGGCATAGTGTTTCTCGGTTTCAATATTATAATTTATATTCTATTAAATAAGGACTTACTTTTTTTAAGTAAGAAAAATGCCGGAGAACGTAGCAATGGTTGAAAGCGAAGAAGTCGAAACTTTCGCCTTTCAAGCCGAAATTGCACAGTTAATGAGCTTGATCATTAACACTTTCTACTGTAATAAAGAAATTTTCATTCGGGAATTGATCTCAAACGCGTCTGATGTGAGTGATATATTTTTGTATATTCAATTCTGTCATAAATCTCGACATATTCAAGTTCGAAATTTTGAGTTTAAAAATTAAACCGAATTTATGAATCATTTTTTAAATATTTTATAGAAGTCATTAACAAATTCTGATTACTTTGTTGCAGGCTTTGGATAAAATCCGTTATGAGTCCCTCACTGACCCATCAAAATTGGATACATGCAAAGAGTTATTCATTAAAATTGTTCCTAACAAGAATGATCGCACTTTGACCCTTCTTGATTCGTAAGTATTACTTTAATTTCTTAATTATTAAAAATTTTGTTTTTAATCTTAATTTGGAAAAAGAAAGCGAATTATTTTGTGTTTTACTTTTGTAAAGGGATATTCATATGAGTAACCATTATTTATTTTTTTTTAGTGGCATTGGTATGACCAAGGCTGACCTCGTGAACAATCTGGGTACGATTGCCAAATCGGGAACAAAAGCATTCATGGAAGCTCTCCAAGCTGGTGCAGACATTTCTATGATTGGCCAATTTGGTGTGGGTTTCTACTCTGCCTATTTGGTAGCAGATAAAGTTACTGTCATTTCTAAGCATAACGAGGATGAACAATACTTGTGGGAATCTTCTGCTGGTGGTTCATTCACAGTTCGTCTAGACAATGGTGAACCAATTGGAAGAGGAACAAAAATCATCCTACATATCAAGGAAGATCAGACAGGATACTTAGAAGAATCAAAAATTAAGGAGGTTGTAAAGAAGCATTCTCAATTCATCGGTTATCCAATTAAACTAGTTGTTGAAAAAGAGAGAGACAAAGAATTGAGCGATGATGAAGAAGAACCTGTAAAGGAAGAAGAGAAAGAAGAGAAAGATGAGAAAGATGAGAGCAAACTCCAGATAGAAGAGGTTACAGAAGAGGAAGATGAAGATAAGCCAAAAGATGAAAAGAAGAAAAAGAAGACAATTAAGGAAAAGTATACTGAAGATGAAGAGCTCAACAAAACAAAACCTATTTGGACACGGAACCCAGATGACATTACACAAGAAGAATATGGTGATTTCTACAAGAGCTTGACTAATGATTGGGATGATCATTTGGCTGTCAAGCACTTCTCTGTAGAAGGCCAATTGGAATTCCGTGCATTACTATTTATTCCTCGTCGTGCACCATTTGATCTGTTTGAGAACAAAAAGAAGAAGAACAATATCAAGTTGTATGTACGTAAGGTCTTTATCATGGACAATTGTGAAGATCTTATCCCAGAATATCTGAATTTCATCAAAGGTGTTGTCGATAGTGAAGATCTCCCATTGAACATTTCTCGTGAAATGTTACAGCAGAATAAAATTCTTAAAGTTATCAGAAAGAATCTCGTTAAGAAATGCTTAGAACTCTTTGAAGAATTGGCAGAGGACAAAGAAGACTATAAAAAATGTTATGAACAATTTAGCAAGAATTTAAAATTAGGTATTCACGAAGACAGTCAAAATAGGAAAAAGCTCTCAGAGTTGCTGAGGTACCATACATCTGCCTCTGGAGATGAGATGTGTTCATTAAAGGATTACGTTGGTAGAATGAAAGAAAATCAGAAACATGTCTATTACATTACTGGTGAAAGCAGGGAACAAGTAGCCAACAGTTCATTTGTAGAAAGCGTTAAGAAACGTGGTTACGAAGTAGTATACATGATAGAGCCTATTGATGAGTATGTTGTACAACAACTGAAAGAATTTGATGGTAAACAGTTAGTTTCTGTTACGAAGGAAGGTTTGGAGCTTCCGGAAGATGAAGAAGAGAAGAAGAAGCGCGAAGAAGACAAAGCCAAATTCGAAAATCTTTGCAAAGTCATGAAGGACATTTTGGACAAGAAGGTTGAGAAGGTTGTTGTTTCCAACAGGTTAGTCGATTCTCCATGTTGTATTGTCACATCACAGTATGGATGGACTGCAAACATGGAGAGGATTATGAAAGCACAGGCTCTTAGAGATACCTCAACTATGGGATACATGACTGCTAAGAAACATTTGGAAATCAATCCAGATCACCCAATCATGGAAAACTTGAGGCAGAAGATCGAAGCAGACAAACATGACAAGTCTGTTAAAGATATTGTTATGCTCCTGTTTGAAACTGCGCTTTTGTCATCTGGTTTTGCGCTAGAAAACCCACAAGTACATGCATCCAGAATATACAGGATGATTAAACTTGGTCTTGGCTTTGATGATGATGATACACCAGTTGTAGAAGAAGAGAAAATGGACACAGAAGTTCCACCGGTAGAAGGTGATACAGAAGAAGCTTCTAGGATGGAAGAAGTAGATTAAAATTATTATTTAAAACTATTTGACTAAATCCAAAGACTTATAAGATGTAGAAAGACTGTTACAAATAATTTCAATTTAAGTATTGATCATGTTCTTTTTTATTTTGTTTTTTCTTTGTTGATGTGACAGAATGAAGTGTCATGCTTATTTTAATGCGTAGCAAAATCTATATTTATTTAATAAATATGTCTTTAGGTAGGACCCTGTCACTTGATTCTGTCTTAAAATGTGTTTGTATCATTTTCATGTCATTACATTATCGCTGCGAATTTCTTTTGTACTGATTATAATATTTAAAATTCGTTTCATATTATCATCATTCCATTTGTCAAACCATCATGTAGTGTAATAACTAAACTGATTGTAAACAAGAAATAAAAACACTACTTACTGGTTTAAATAAGTGTAATTACCCCTTCCTTTACTAACACGAATTATTTTGAAAATTAGATTTGTAATGTTAATAATTCTAACATTGTCTCCGAATATATTAAAATATTTTGTAAGATATTTTCATGTATTAGGAATGTTATATATAATAAACGTAGACCTTTATTCAAATCAAAATAAAAAAAAGAGATCTATATAATATTATTTTGAGAAAGAAAATTATCTATTTTTGTCTAAAGAACGTAGAAATTATTTAACACGTTGACCGCCGCGTCGATCACTTGTGGGTGACACTAATTTTTGACCAATTTGGAAAATTCATTCTCATTGTAATATATTCGTACAAACTGAATTTGACCAGAATGTTTCGG